TTTTTTTTAAATGTAAGATAAATATCCCGTCATCATAGAGCCTTCATCCAGTAACTGATGGAAGTAGATGCAGAGATCCACAGCCAAGCACCAGGCCGAGCTCCAGGAGTCCAGTCAAAGAGAGGGAAGAGGGATTCTATGAGCAAGGGGGGTCAAGATCATGATGGGGAAACCTACAGAGACAACCAAACCAAGCTAGTAGAACATAAAGACTTTAGACCAACAGCTGTGGAGCCTCCATGGGACTGGATTAGGCCCTCTGCATAAGCAAGACAGTTGTGAAGCTTGATCTGCTTCAGGGGCCCCTGGCAGTAGGATCAGGATCTATCCATGGTACATGAGCTGGCTTTTTGGAGCCTACTACTTATGGTGGGACACCTTGCTCATCCTTGATGCGGGAGAGGGGCTTAGTCCTGCCTCAACTGAATGTACCAGGCTTTGCTGACTCCCCATGGGAGGCCTTACCTTTTCAGAGAAGAGAATGGGAGGGTGGGTTGGGGGGGCTAGGGGGGCTGGGAAGAGGGAAGTAAGGGGGATCTGTGGTTGGTATGTAAAATGAATAAAAAATTTCTCAATTAAAAAACAAACCATAAGACAAGGCAGGCTAGAGAAGGATTATGGGGAGGGACAACACAAAGACTTTTGAAAGAAATGACTGTAAAAGCATCCTGACATGTATACATCTACAAAAGGAGTTTAAATACTGTTTCCATCTAACTGGGGGCAGGTGCAACATCCAAATCAGACATCATATACTACCAAGTAAAACCTAACACCAGAAATGGGTTACATATTTTTGAGTTGTTGGCCAATGGGGTCCCACACATGCCCCCTCCCAACATTACAGGAAACATTACCAGTGCTATTGGTTGTGTGTACCCTAATAACGTTTGCCTGAAGATCAGAGACCAGAACAAGCCACTAGATAAACATACATGCCAGGCAGTGGTGGCATACACCTTTAATCCCAGCACTTGAGATCTCACAACTTTAATCCCAGTATTTGGGAAGCACATACACCATTAATCCCAGCACTAGGAAGGAAGTGACGGCTGGGCAGAGAAAGGTATATAAGGCGTGAGGAGACGGGAACTGAAGCCCTTTTCAGCTGGAGAGCTTTTCAGGCTGAGGAGTTCCAGAGGTAAGACATGGCAGTGGCTTGTTCCTTTGTCTCTCTGATCTTTGAGCATTTATCCCCAATATCTGGCTCCAGGTTTTTAATTAAAAGGCCAGTTTAGGAATTCGTGTTACAATTGGTTGCCCTCCACAATTTGCCATAAGACCCAACATGGAGAAATCTAGCTGGCATCCAGCTAGAAGCTTCATGCTACTGGCTAGTGTTCATAGTGATGAAAAGTGCTATGTACAACATCAGAGGAGAAAAGTAATGATCGATCTTGCTCACCTACAAGCCCAGTGAACCACAGTTTAATGACTTGCCTACAAGTTCAATAGTGGCTTGAATGTTAGGGGGATAATCACCCACCTTTTCACTTGGATCTGAGCCCTCCCATCTCCTTCTATAAGATGAAACCCATACCTGACTCTGTCAGTGAGGCCAAGAACCTGAGGCCAGATAGGTCATGGGCCCCAGGGGAAAACCTACCATTATTATTCTGCTAAATGAACACAGCAATGGAACAACTAATAAAATACTGCTACACCCAAAGTTCAGTATGTCACTCAACTCTCATCAGGGAGGATCTCATAGTGAATGGTGATTAATGTAGAGACTTACAACGGGCAGAGTCAAAGACTTTGGAATGCTCAGCCCTAATTGGGATGTCTTATATCACACCCTCTCCTCAGGGTTCCGAGTCCATTTGGAAGAGGGGGCAGAAAGACTTTAAGAGCCAGAGGTAGTAGATGACTTCAAGGAAAGAACATTTTTCACATACAACAGGGCAGCCGCACATATGAACTCACGGGAGCTATGACAGCACACACATTCACATACAACAGGGCAGACGCACATATGAACTCACAGGAGCTATGACAGCACGCACATTCACGTACAACAGGGCAGACACACATATGAACTCATGGGAACTATGACAGCATGTACATTCACGTACAACAGGGCAGACACACATATGAACTCATGGGAACTATGACAGCTCGCACATTCACATACAACAGGGCAGACGCACATATGAACTCACGGGAACTATGACAGCTCGCACATTCACATACAACAGGGCAGACGCATATATGAACTCATGGGAACTATGACAGCTCGCACATTCACATACAACAGGGCAGACGCACATATGAACTCACGGGAACTATGACAGCATGCACACGCCCTTCATAAACTCCAGGCAGACAAATTCCACCACAGAGGTAGGGAAGAGGGCACAAATCCCACCCCTAACCGAGAAGCCATTTGCATTGCCAGTGCTGGGAGAGGGGAAAGCAGTTTCCCCAGTGGAGTGACAATGGGTATGTCAACCACAACCCAGGATACAACCCACACCCAGGAGTCATCATTCAACACAAACTGCACTCCATGGTTGTTGTTTGTGTGTTTCCTAAAGAGAGAGAAAACATGAAGTTGGGTGGGGAGGTGGAGAGACTCTGGGAAGAGCTGGGGGAGGTGGGGAAAGAACATGATCAAAATATATTGTATAAAAATTTCAAAGAATAAGTGAAAACGTTAAATACAACAAAACAAAGGTAAATAAAATTCAATGAAATTAAGAAAAAAAACCAGCTGGAATTATTTACATCACTCCCCTCAAAGCTCCTCTATGTCAAAGGAAACCTAAACTTGGTGAGGTATTTTCAAAACAATTGTGTAACACGACTTTATTTCCACTCTGAGGTTTGCAATCTTTGTTTTATGATCTGGCATTGAGGGCTTATCAGGAACAGGAGTATGTGGAAGAATGACAACTGCATTAGTGGTTTGTACCTGTTATATTCCAACCTCTGAGATTCAAAGGTAAAACACCAAGCATTTAGTATTAAACTGATTTAGTCGTTTTAATAATATTTGTGTGCCAGGCAACAGTGATGTATCAGTGAGTCAGAGCAGCCAAACTTCCTCTCATGTAGTTTGCAACTCTGGAGACAATCAGCACTCCGGAGAACTAAGAGCAAATCTGACAACTTTACATCACAGTGTTTGCTCTGCTGAAATACATTTCACTGAAAGTCTGAGGTTGAGGACGGAATCAAGAAGCGCAGGGACAAGTCACTCCAGGGGAAGAAGCGTCTAGTATAAAGCCAGTGTAGGAAAGACGGAAGGAAGGTGGTTTGAGAGGTGGCGATAAGTTAGGCAGAGGACAAATCACAGGGGTGCACACCCAAGCAAAGAGCTCAGATTCTGTTGGAAATAGAACAGAAAGCCCTGTAAGGTTTTCAGAAGGAAAGAAACGAGACTTCTTGTGTATTTTCTCATGACCACTTGGATGGGTGAAGACTGAATGGTAGTGATGGAAGAAGCTGGCAACCAGTTAGAAGGCTGCAGCAGCAGTTCAGTGGAAAGATGGCCGTGGTCTGGGCTAGGGCAGTAGTGTCTCAGGCAGATGCTTTGGTTGTGCTAGTTAGATTTTTTTAAAAAATCAATTTAGCACAAACCTAGACATACATGGGAAGAGGAGATCTTAACTGAGAAAATGCCTCCATAGGACTGGCCTGTAGGTAAGTTTGTGAGGCATTTTCTTGGTTAATGATTGATGTGGGAAGGCTCAGCTCACTGTGGGTGGTGCCACCCCTGGGCATGTGGTCCTGTATAGTATCAGAAAACAGGCTGGCCAAGCCAGTGAGTAGCAAGCACTCCTCCATGGCCTCTACTGCAGTTCCTGCCTCCAGGCTCCTGCCCTGACATCTCTGTCTGGCAATATTTCTTATCACTAGAAGATGCGCGTTATTTCTCACAAATGAATGCTGTTATGAAGGAAGACTACAAAGTACTCCCAAGTATGATCTGTGAAGTAAACGGGAAGCCAAGAGCATGTAATTTTCTGGAAGTCAATAAGCAAAATTCCTTCAGGACGTGGGAATGAACAATCATGGCAAACGGTTCTAAGTCAAATCAGGTGAGAACTTGGAAACTGTCCACTGGGTTTCAATGACTGCAGATCGCTGGCCCAAGGGCTGTTCTGTAGAAGTAGGCTGGAAGCCTGACTGGGATAGATTTGAGAGAGAAGGGTAGGTGATACAGGATGTGGATAAATGACATAAAAATCAAAGTGGAGCTCCAAAGCCTGATGTTCTAACTACTTTTTGGTTCAACCTCTCAAAAACACAACCTGCATAAGGCATTAAAGGCGTCAAAACCACAATATGCATAAGGCATTAGCAGGAAGCTGTGGATGAGCTACCTGAGTTCTAAGCCCACTTCCACCACTGACCCACTGCATCAAAGTAAGTTTTGTAAACACCTTGTTTTATCTATAAGAACGGCAAAAAGCCTCTACCTAGACTCATTAAAGCTGACAACGCATGAACGCTAACTAGGCATCAAAAGAAATACCATGAGAGTCAATTGGGTTTTTAGACTTTCTGGGGGCCACATCTTCAAAAGTAAGCACGGTGGAAAACATTTAACCTAATACATCCAAAATGTTACCACTGCAAACTCTAATCATTGTAAAATAAAATAAAATGAGATGCTCCAGTGAGAATCCATTGTGCGTGTGTTCCACTGGCTAGGGATCATGGTACTGGAGAACTCCTACCCGGAGTTGACTGAACTGGGTATCAAGACCACCCGGTACCCGTATTTATGAGCAGCCCAGCGGGCAGCGAGGCGGTCCGACCGAAGACTACACCGACCTGGAAAGCGACTCCTGAGAATTCAGGTTCCGGGAGAGCAGACGTTTCGCCTGCGGCCGCCGGGTTCTCCCCTCCCCCGGCTCGCCCTTACCTCCCTCCTCACACTTCCCAGCTGCTGCAACCAGAGGCCCGTCCAGAGAGCACTGGGCGCCCGGATCCGTGACACTACATCCACCTCAGCACAGAAAAACCGTCCCGTTCATTCAGCTGAACCACTGCTAAAGAGCCGGGGTTCTTTTTGAAATTTTTTCCCGCGAGAACTCGCATTCCTTACGAGATGTCTTGTCCAATCCGCGCCTCCGACACAAACAAGAGGAGCGACTCGCAGCGACTGCGCAGGTGCGTGCGGCGCGTCCTAGGCTTAGGCTTTCCTCCTGGTCAGTTCTTCTGTGAGCTGTTTTTGTTTTTCCTAAGTGTCTACTTTTAAGTGAGTTGTGTTTCTGGGTTTTATTTATTTGTTGTCGTCTTTAGCAGCGCCATTGTAGAGGCAGTGTCGCTGGGCCACAGAGAGGCGACAGCAGGCAGGCCAGTGTGGGACTGACCCCCCCTTGTGGCCCAGCGACACTGTCAGCCCCACACTGGCCTGCCTGCTGTCGCCTCCTGCAGCGAAGGCATTTCGTCTCGCCCGTGCCAGGACAGTGCCACATTCCACACGGATCCTCCCGGGTAGACCCGCAAACTATCTTGCCAAGTCCACGGCATCCTTCAGTTTGCAGAGGAAATCAACGCCTCCCCCAAAGAAACGTGGCCTGTCAAAGTAGTGGAACTGCTGTTCAAACGAACGCCAGCTGCTCGGCAGGACAGCTGGGGCGCATCCGTGTTCAAATGGAAATGTCTTGTAAATATGCTTACTCTTTAAAAATGCAAGCACTTGGAAATCTGGAAAGTTCTAGTACCTGGTACATGGCATCATTTCTTGTTTATCTAAGGACTTGGCTCTGTCTCTTTTATCGTCATGTTTTACTGTGCTGAATCCTCCCCACCAGTAGACGAAATTACTCCTATTGCAAAATTTAATGAAAACTTCCCTGACTCCAGTAAACCACAACCCCATTTCGTTTTTCTTTATATAACAAAATGAAAAAGTTCTTTCACTATTCAATTATTATTACTATGATGATAATGATGATGATGAATTTTGAGACAAGATCTCTGTGTACCCCTGGTTGTCTGGAACTTTCCCTGCAAGCCAGGCTTGCCTTGAACTCACGGAGATCTTCTTGTCTCTGCCTCCTGAGCTCTGGGATGTAGTAGAGGATTAGTTAAAGATGTGTTACATTTGTTTATGCTGTGGAACATTTGTTTAATGAAGCAATGATGTGTTGCGCTCTTATGTTGCATTTGTGTTTATTTGCCTGTCTAAAACACCTGATTGGTCTAATAAAGAGCTGAACAGCCAATAGCAAAGCAGGAGAAGGGCTAGGCGGGGCTGGCAGGCAGAGAGAATAAATAAGAGGAGAAATCTGGGAGGAGGAGATCAAGGAGTGAGAAAAGAAGGGGCCAGCCCCCCATCTACACAGCCAGACATGGAATAAGAAGGGAAAAAAAAAGATAGACAGAATAGAGAAAAGTAAAAAGCCTAGAGGCAAAAGATAGACGGGATACTTTAAGAAAAGCTACCTAGAAATTAGCTAAGCTAAGGCCAGGCATTCATAAGAAAAAATAAGTCTCTGTGTGAATTTATTTGGGAGATGGGTGGCAGGCCCCCAAAGAGCTAAAGAGGAGAGAGAGAGAGAGAGAGAGAGAGAGAGAGAGAGAGAAATACACTAGGATTCGTTTCTTTTATTGTTTTGGTATTCCCATCAACTGTGATCTGGTCTTAAACCAGTACAGTGAATTATCACCAGTGATTTTTTTTTTTTTTTTTTTTTTTTTTTTTTTTTTTTTACATTCAGGCCAAATCTGAACTGTACCACAGCACCCCAGTGATTTCTACCCTGCATTGTCTGGTAGTCAATATCCTCTCTTCCCCTTTCCTGCATTTGGCGGAGTTGAATGCCTCCATTAAGTTTTAATGTCTTGATGCGCCATACCCCTTGACTCCCTGTCTTCATATTCACGTGTAGACCTGTATTTCTGATGGAGCTAGACTAGGCTTTAAAGGAGTGAACTGAGTTTTAAGATAAGCAACAATGATCCTTCAAGCATATTTAGTCATCACTGAGTTCTTGATTAAATGAAGCAAATTCTATTTCCTCTATTATTTTCAAATTCCTTGACCCGGGAGCCAGATAACATCTAGTCTTAGCCGGTCATGAATAGTTACAACTGGTCACTAAAATTTTTATGAACTCCATTTTTTCTCCTTTGTCTGAAGAGATGATAAATCATATATCATCTATTATGTAAAGGATTAAGTAAGTGGCCATAGTGAGGTAGACAGTGGAAGGCTGTGATAAAATGTACCATTTAAGGGTTGCCCACAATATAGTGTATTATTTACATATATTTAATATATATTTAAAATCAGGGCTGTTTAAATTCATATGGATATGAATAATACATGCCCCTACATGAGAGGAAAAGTGGTTTTTTTTTTTTTTTGGTCTGGATATTTATTTTTTAAAAATTACCAATCTAGTGGCCCTAAGCAGAGCCTTGAAAGATGGTGGACCTAGGGAAGAATGAATTCAAAGGGGAAAAGACCATGTTCACGGTTTTAAAGGCCACTCACCCTGTAATTGTTAACTAGAGTTTATAGGAGAACACTGACTTGAGCTAGGCCTCTACACTGGCCCACTACACGAAAGTAACATGGAGTCACTTGTGGTAATGGGCACACGAATAACTAAGCTCCAAGGCCATCATCAGTGGGCAGATGATTCAAATCAGTAAATGCTGAGCTGGGACCAATGAAGCTGTCTCTACACTTCACTTGTTTCCTGTCCACAAATACTACCTGATCTTGTTGTTTAAAGGAGTTGTTTGAACTTCTGATTCAGAGAGTTGCCTTATCTTAGCATCATAAATAAAAGTCAGTTATAGTCTTTAAAGTCAATTTGTTGTGGTTTTTGTCCTTTGGACATAGCTAAGTCACTGTTTAGGAATGCTCTGGATAGAATAGAGCCAATACCATCACTGGACACTAGATGTCACAAGTGAGATGAATTTTAATAGCTTCATAGATTAACTTGGACTGTTTCATAGTGCTAAGTGCAGATCTCCCAGATCAGACTGGGGTCCACATACACGCCCTACGTGCCAAAGGTGGGAGTGGGGTGCTACGTTCGATTTTTGTTTGAATAAACGAAACATTCATTCAGCAACGTTGTGCTATCTCAGTACAATGCATTGATGAACTTCCTGTTTTTCCTGCCCAGAGCATTGTGTATTTTATAAGCAATTCATCTTTCCATCCATGTTCAGCCACATGGACTTGTTACAGTTGATTCTTCCCCTCAGCTCCAGTGAACTTTAACCTGTAGGACACTCATCATCTTGATTAGAGAAATTGGTTGAAAGATGGCCTATGAAGGACAAGCCAATGGATTTTACATGGGGACTTCTGGGAAAATGGATTGTGTTAATCCTCTCTCTTGTGGCCTGAAGTGGGGTTGGGGGTGGGATTGGGATCTTTTGTGTCTGCCATTTTCATTTTACATAGTAAGAGATGGGTCATTCCTCCTCACACGATAGTGGGTTCACCAAGCATAGGAAAGGCCTCTGAAATCTGGGAAGCAGCAAAAATATCCATTCCAACCCCCGTTCAAATTCCTAATACTACAGCTATTCACGCGGGGGTTGGCCACTGTAGTGACTTGTTCTCACTCGCTCATGTGACATTACTAACCTACTTGTTAGAAATGGTGTCCTGGGGTGTTGCATTGTCTTGGAAAGGTGTGTATTTTGGTGCACATTTATTTCGTGAGTGCTTAGAGTAGGGTACTACAAAGGGAAAGCTCCTGTACTCAGGAAGCTTAGAGTTCAGTGGAAGAGGCATCCGTCAAATGATTCTTCCTTAGAGGATGCCTTCAGCATCCTTGTTCTTTCGTTATTAAATAGAGCTGTGAGCTAGATGACTTTGGGACCAGGCAAAAATGAGTACAGGATTCTGAGATACCAAGCAATCTGAAATAAAACTGGATCAATTAATAAAGTTCCATGATTGGTAGAATGGACTGAGAAATGAGGTTTTAAAGGTTATGATGAAGGTTGTGCCCATTGAAACTTGTAGAATAGCTAAACAGAGAAAAGAGAATAGCTGTCTGGGTGCAGGATACGGGGATTGTCCTAATCCATGGAATAAATACAGCAATAGGATCTAACCCAGTGGTTCTCAACCTTCCTAATTCGGTGACCTTTTAATACAGTTCCTCATGTTGTGGTGACCCCAACCATAAAATTATTTTCATTGCTACTTCATAACTGTAATTTTGCTATTGCTATGATACATAATGTAAATATCTGGGTTTTATGATGGTCTTAGGCAACCCCTATGAAAAGGTTCTTTAACCCCCAAAGGGGCCATGACCCACACATTGAGAACCTCTGATCTAACAAGAGAAAGAAGAAACATGAGACAGGCTGGAAATTGAACTGTCACAACTCCCCACGTGACAGTCAGCTATCATAAAGAGTAGTTGTCCAGGCAGGCAGATTTGACTGCTTAATAGAAATAACCATAGTTATTTAACTATAATAACTGGCCTGCAGTCTCTTCCTGCACCACTGTTAACTCCTAATGAGTCCCATTGCTACGTTCGATTTTTGTTTGAATAAATGAAGCCTTCATTCAGCAACATTGTGCTATCTCAGTACAATGCATTGATGAACTTCCTGTTTTTCCTGCCCAGAGCATTGTGTATTTTATAAGCAATTCCTCTTTCCATCCATGTTCAGCCACATGGACTTGTTACAGCTGATTCTTCCCTTCAGCTCCAGTGAACTTTAACCTGTAGGACACTCATCATCTTGATTAGAGAAATTGGTTGAAAGATGACCTATGAAGGACAAGCCAATGGGATTTTACATGGGGACTTCTGGGAAAATGGATTGTGTTAATCCTCTCTCTTGTGGCCTGAAGTGTGGCTACCTGAGAAGATACTGGCCCTCCATCACATTGTGTGCCCTGCAGGTTCCAGCGCTGTCTGGCTTGAGAAAGGAATGAAAAGCAGGGATGGAAGTGGAGAGTGATAGGTGTCCTTTTCTCACCATTAGAGCTCTCCGAGCATGCCCTGGAGCTATAGCTATCATCATTGTGCTGCTCACAGCACTTCAGCTTGAGGTCTCTGTTGTTGGGAAGATAAAATATTTCAACCAATACACAACAATGCTCTGTCTGAGAGGAAGTGTCTCAGAGCACTCACCCCTGACTGAAATCTGTAGGGCACCCTTCCTCT